GCCGGAGCTACGCTCCTGCGCGCTCCTGCAGGAAATGACCCCTGCTAGTCTGGGAGATTTCACCAGGTACTGCGCAAACATTTTCAAGTTTATTCGCTCACTCAAGAGGGGTAGAAACTTGGTTCCCCCCCAAAAAAGAAAAGAAACTGACAGTTGTACAATGCCAGATTCTGTTCAGAATACCCATGGCCCTGACACTAGCTACTGGCGCATCGATTCCCTCTGAATTTTGTCTAAATCATTTTTGAAAAAGCCATATGTCTGCTCACATGAAAAGCTCTCAACTCCCATCTGTGAACTGGCATTTCACGCTAATTCAATTAATTTCACGTTGATCAAGTAGTGCATGCTTATGAAACTGAACATGTAGTGTTATGGGAAAGAATTTATTTTGTGGACTATGGTGGGTAATGAAGCTTACAGCCACATGGGAAAGGAACATGCTTTTGTGGTAACGGGGAACACTGGGATATGGGAGGGGGTCAGGAGACCGTGGGTCAAGTGTATCTACTACTGAAGTGGGACTAGGGCAGGGGTCCCCAACCTTTTTGAGCCTTCAGGCACCTTTGGAATGCTGACACACTCTGGTAGACACAGCCACAAAATGGCTGCCAAAGGAGGAGGAGCCTGACCAAAAATGGCTGCCACAGCTTACCTTCAGTCACATAGTGAAGGTTCTTATGCTGCAGTGGTGGCTGCTGCCAAAGACACATTTTTTAAAAAATCTGCACAGCTAAGCAATTTGCCTGTGGCCAATGCTGGGCAAAATGCCCACTTCCTAAAAAAACACTTGGTGGTCTCCAGGAAGGGTGTTGGTGAGCACCACGTTGGGGGTCCCTGGACTAGAGGAAAGGGGTAGTTGCCCCTCTCAAAACTGCAGCCCCAGTGGCTGAGTTCTGTCAAATGATTAGAAAAATTGGGATGATATGTTGGGCAACTACCTAAAATATGTAGTTCCCTATTATTGAGAAGGCAACCATTGGCTGTGGAGGGAGCTCTTAACCATCAAATCATGGACTTGGGCATCTGTTGATTTTTTTCAGCACCTTGTGAACTGCCCACATGTGGAGCAGGTACTTGAAAACTGCAGTAGAAGAAGGAGGAGGAGGAAGAGGAGGCGATTGGATTAATACCCCACCCTTCATTACCTGAAGGAGTCTCAGAGAGGCTTACAATCTCCTTTCCTTTCCCCTCCCCACAACAGACACCCTGTGAGGTAGGTGGGGCCGAGAGAGAACTGCCTTGCCTGCCTGTTGCTACTCTTTCTGTTTATTTTGTACCTGCCAGGAATTCACAATGAAAAGACCACCTCACCCCTTTCTCAAACCAGTCTCGCGCCCTCCCCATCACACACTGCTGAAGACTTTGATGGATCTAATGTATTCATTTGTTCTGCAGTAACCTGTCCTGTGCTATTTAATAAGCAAAGAGGGTAAAGATAGGTTAAAAATGGTGTGCTTAAAAACATGTCCTACAATGCTACCTACCTAGTAGCCCCCCCTATCCTCAGCCATCTCTCCCCCAAACTATTCCAGCTCCGTTCTCTTATCCATTATTCTGAATTAGTTGGCACCACTCAGTTTATCAGGGTCCTTGAATAGCATCTGTCCATGCTATTTTAATAAACTTTTCAGGTGTTCAGATTGTCACCTGACCGCTGTGGCTATGCCCTTAACACTAGCATAGTCTGCAGGCATTAAGAGGTGATATTGCTTAGCTCCATGCCAATGTTCCCTCTAAGCTGTGGAGTCTTGTGAGCAAAAATTCTACTTTGTGAGCTCCTGGCATTAAAGTTGTGAGCGAGCGATTTGGCTACTGCATAAATTAGCTTGCTCCGGAGCCATCCTTTCTGAGCGAAGGCAAAAATGTGTGAGCTAGAGGCTAAAAAAACTGTGAGCTGGCTCACACTAACTCATCTTAGAGGGAACACTGCTCCATGCTATGAAATGCTTCAGATGTTAATTTTCTGTAGACCAAACTGCTATTGAAGGCAAGTGTATTTTCTGGCTAGTTGGTAATCCTACCAATGCCACTCTGTCCTCTCACATATTCTAAGACACATCTTCGGGCACTAGAAACAATTACTAGAGTTTGGCCTAGGGCTATGAAATTCTGGGCTCCATCTTCCCCATTCTGGATCTGTTGAAATCCTCACCTGTGACCTCCCGTCAATGCTCTCTCTAAGCTGTGGAGTCTTGTGAGAAAAAATTCTACTTTGTGAGCTACTGGCAATTAAAGTTGTGAGCGAGCGATTTGGCTACTGCATAAATTAGCTTGCTCCGGAGCCATCCTTTCTGAGCGAAGGCAAAAATGTGTGAGCTGGAGGCCAAAAAACGGTGAGCTAGCTCACACTAGCTCAGCTTAGAGGGAACATTGCCCCCTGTCCACCCATTTTTTCCCCCTCTCCTTTTTTTGCCTCTCTTATCACATGGTATGATGGCCACATTTTTCATTGGCCTGACTCCTATGCATTTAGAGCAACCTGCCACATGCAAATTAGCCAGTGATGCCTGAAAGAACGATGCCCCTGTTTCACATACGAACAAGAAAACACTTTTGAATACACAGAACTGCTCCCAGCTCCCTGAACGAAACCACTAGGCTGTAGTATCATCTGTGAGTTGAAAAGAGAACCCAGGAAACTGTGCTTTAGGACATCGTAGCAATCTTCCTGGAAGTAGCACAGAGTCCAGCACCAGGAGTTCTGACTAGACACTTTCAATGCGCTTCGCAACTGGGTTTTACAGTGCGAACCAGCAAAATCCACTTGCAAACAATTGCTAAAGTGCATTGAAAGAGCAATATTCAGCTCTAACCTGATCAGCCCTACTGACCTATTTAGGCCCCTGCCACACGAGGGAAGAAGGGACGGCCAAAGTGCGGCTTTTAAAAAGCCGCACCTAAATAGGCATGCGGCGGCAGGATCGTACAGATCCCTTGAGCCGCTGTGCATTTGCTCCCCGGCACGATCAGATGCCGGGGAGATGGGGAGAAAGGCACGGAAGTCGGTAGGTGGTTCTTTTTTGGTGCGGATCATCGCTGGAAGGGCCGGATCGGGGACGGACACGGTACGCTTCCCAGTTGTTGCGGTGGGATCGCGCCCGTTTGCTCCGCCCCCGTTCCGTCCCTCTCCGAGCCCTAATCCTCTCATGTGGACAGGGCCTTAGTCCGTCCCTCAAGTCCCCTGGTTTCCATCACCCGCTTCCCTCTGGTCCAACCTTTGGAAAGCATGGACTCTTCTCTATGGACCAGTTTTTGAGTTTCAAAGCAGGGGATGGAACCCAGGCTCCCCAAACACTCTAGGGACCGCTCTCCACCTTTGCATGCTGTGCCAGGCCTCTTGGTTATGAAGCCCTGAAACAGCACCAGCCATCTCAAACAAAGCTTTCGAAATGTTCTCTGACAGCATCCCTAAAGCCAGACACTCAGCTCTGGGAGACAAGCAGGTTAGCAACGTGGTGTCAGGACTCAAAGAAGCTCAGATAAACCACCCCAGCAACTACTCTTCAAGCATCTGGAAATGTTACAGCCCCACAGATGTCCTGAATCCCAATGATCAGCTCTGATTTGAAATTCAAGAGGCAGCAAGAGGCCAGGATAGACGTCCGGGCAGCCCTTTGCTTTCTGGGAGGCAGTTCCTTATTAGGAGGCAAGGAGCCCTATGAGCAGAGCTTTTGCCTTGGGATGAGCATTCAGGGAGTTCTCAGCTCCCCTGGAGCTTGCTGGGGGAAGAGGAACCTCCCTGGCTGTGGACAGGACTTGAAGCGCCCCCTCCTAGCACTCTGTGGTCTGCTGCTCAGCTGGAAACCTAAGGAGGTTCCTGGAAGAAAACCTGCCTCAGGAAGCTCCTTTGCTCCCTGCTAGCTTCCCTGGAGCTCATTGCTCATCGGGGAGAAGAAGACCCTCCCAGGGGAGCAACAGGCTGGGAGCAGGCATTCAGAAACCCATCGTTCCCCAGCTAACTCTCCTGAAGTGGGCTGCTCATCTGGGAGGTGAGGAACCTCTTTGCAGGACCCTCAGCCTTGGGGTGGCCTTTCATGTAGCCCCCTCTCTCCTGGCTTACTTCCCTGTAACCTGCTGCTCATCTGGGCGATTAAGAACCTCCCAAGCTTTGGGCAGGCTTTGAAGAGTCCCAACTCACTCCCCACTGGTCTTCCTGCAGTTTCTGCTCATTGGTGAGCTGAAAAAGCTCCCAGCTGAGGATCAGGCTAGGCTTTCAGGAGCCCCTTGCTCAAGGTTAGCTCCTCTGCAGCTTGCTGCTCATCAGTACAAGCTACCTTGTAGCTTGGGAAGGGCTTTCAGTCAGCTGCCTCACTCCTTGAAAGCTTGACTGGAGCCTAAGCTTTTAGGACACCCCCCCTTGCTCAAGGCTAGCCTCCCTGGAGCTGGGAGATAAGGAACCCAGTAGCAGAGCTTCAGGCTCGGAATGGGCTTTCAGATCACTCCCTTGCTGCCTCCCAGCTTCCCTGGAGTCTGTAGCTTATCTGAGTGAGGATGGCCATAAAGGCTTGGGATGGGCTTTCATGTAGCCCTCTTTCTCCATGCTTTGAGGAGCCCTCCTCACTCCCTACTAGTTTCCCGGCAGCTTCTACTCATTGGTGAGCTGAAGAAGCTCCCAGCTGAGGGTCAGGCTAGGCTCTCAGGAACCCCTTGCTCCAGCCTGGTTTCTCCCCAGCTTGCTGCACACCCGTACAAGCTACCTTGTAGCTTGGGAAGGGCTTTCAGTCAGCTTCCTCATTCCCTGAAAGCTTGACTGGAGCCTAAGCTTTAAGGACTCCCCCTCGCTCAAGGCTAGCCTCCAAGGAGCTGGGAGATAAGGAACCCAGTAGCACAGCTTCAGGCTCAGAATGGGCTTTCAGATCACTCCCTTGCTGCCTCCCAGCTTCCCTGGAGCCTGTAGCTTATCTGAGTGAGGATGGCCACAAAGGCTTGGGATGGGCTTTCATGTAGCCCCCTTTCTCCCTGTTAACCTCCTGCTCATCTGGGTGATGAGGAGTGCTCCAGGCTTTGAGGAGCCCTCCTCACTCCCTACTAGTCTTCCTGCAGTTTCTGCTCATCTATAAGTTGCAAAACCTTCCAGCTGAGGATCAAGCTAAACTTTAAGGAGCCCCCTTTTTCCAGGCGAGCATCTGTAGAGCTTGTTGTTCCTCTGGGAGATGAAGAACCTCTGAAGTGAGCAACAACAGGTTTGGAAGAGGTGTTCAGGAGCCCTCTTGTTCCCTGCTAACTCCCCTGAAGTTGGTTGCTCATCTGGGAGGTGAGGAACCTCTTTGCAGAACCATTGGCTTGGGGCAGGCTTTCATGTAGCCCCCTTCCTCAGCACTGGCTTAGCTAGGTGATGAAGAACCTCCTAAGCTTTGAGATGCCCCCTTGCTTCCTTCTTGTTTCCCTGCAGCTTCTGCTTATCTGTGAGCTGACAAGTCACCCAGCTGAGAATCAGGCTAAACTTTTAGAAGAACCCCCCTTGCTCTAGGCTAGCTTTCCTGGAGCTTCTTGCTCATTTAGGAAGCAAGGAACCTCATAGCAGAGGCTCAGGATGGGCTTCCATATAGCCCTAAACATTAGCTTAGTTGGCTGGATGAGCAACATCCCAGGGAGGGTGGGTGGGGGGAGGAATTTGAAATGTCCCAATAGCTCCCGGTTAGCTTCCTTGGACCTGGCTGCTCAGCTAGAAAGCCAGGGGCTCCCAGCAGAAAATCTGGGTTGGAACAAGATTCCAGGCAGCACCTTTGCTCCCAGCTAACTTCCTGGGAACTTCCTGCTCATTCAGGAGATGCGGAATCTTTGGGCAAGTGTTTGAAGTGCCCTGCTAGCTCCCTTGGGTCTGCTAGTCATCTCCGTGCTGAAAGACTGCCCAGGTTGACATCAGACCAGGCTGTCAGGGAGCCCCCCTTCATGCGAGGTGAGGCACCTCGGAGCACAGCATCACACTCGGGATGGACTTCAGCTAACTCCCTGTCAGTCTGCCAGCCTCACTGCAGCCTGCTGCTTATCTCAGAGCTGAGGAAAGTCCCAGGCTTTGAGCAGGATGGGGAGGGTCCCCCAAGCTCTCCTGTGTCCTGCTGCTCAGCTGGAGCACCAGCTTCTTGCTCATTTAGGAAGCAAGGAACCTCATAGCAGAGGCTCAGGATGGGCTTCCATATAGCCCTAAACATTAGCTTAGTTGGCTGGATGAGCAACATCCCAGGGAGGGTGGGTGGGGGGAGGAATTTGAAATGTCCCAATAGCTCCCGGTTAGCTTCCTTGGACCTTGTTGCTCAGCTAGAAAGCCAGGGGCTCCCAGCAGAAAATCTGGGTTGGAACAAGATTCCAGGCAGCACCTTTGCTCCCAGCTAACTTCCTGGGAACTTCCTGCTCATTCAGGAGATGCGGAATCTTTGGGCAAGTGTTTGAAGTGCCCTGCTAGCTCCCTTGGGTCTGCTAGTCATCTCCGTGCTGAAAGACTGCCCAGGTTGACATCAGACCAGGCTGTCAGGGAGCCCCCCTTCATGCGAGGTGAGGCACCTCGGAGCACAGCATCACACTCGGGATGGACTTCAGCTAACTCCCTGTCAGTCTGCCAGCCTCACTGCAGCCTGCTGCTTATCTCAGAGCTGAGGAAAGTCCCAGGCTTTGAGCAGGATGGGGAGGGTCCCCCTAGCTCTCCTGTGTCCTGCTGCTCAGCTGGAGCACCAGGGCTCCCCTACCAGAAACCTGGCTCAGAGCAGGCTTTCAAATCCCTTCCTTCCACAAGGCTAGCTTCCCTGGAGCCTACTGCTGTTCCAGGAGAAAAGAAACCTCCTGACTGAACATCAGACTTGGGACAGGCATCCAGGCAACCTCCTCACTGCCCACTTGCTTTCTTGGAACTCGCTGCTCATTTGGGAGGCAAGGGATCTCCCAGGTTTGAGCGAGCTCTCCTGGAGCTTCCATAAACTGCAAAGCCTTCCAGCTGAGTATCAGGCTTGGAAAGGGCTTTCGTGTCCCCTTGTTAGCTCCCTGATAAGCTGCTGCTTTCCTGGGTGATGAGAAATCTCCCAGGCTGTGTGCAGGCTTTGAGGCGCCTCTCTTGCTCCCTGCTAGCTTTTCTGCACATCTGGGTGCTGAAAAACCTCCCAGCTGAGCATCCAGCTAGGCTTTCAGAAACCCCTTGCTCCACACTAGCTTGTTTGCAGCTTGCTGCTCACCTGTACAAGCTACCTTGTAGCTTGGGAAGGGCTTTCAGTCAGCTGCCTCACTCCCTGAAAGCTTGACTGGAGCCTAAGCTTTAAGGAGCCCCCTCTTTCTCTAGCCTCCCTGGAGCTGGGAGGTGAGGAACCCAGGAGAAGAGCTTCAGGCACAGAATGGGCTTTCAGATCACTCCCTTGCATCTTCCCAGCTTCCCTGGAGCCTGTAGCTTATCTGAGTGAGGATGGCCATAGGCTTGGGGCTTGCTTTCTTGTAGCCCCCTTCCTCAGCACTAGCTTAGCTGGGTGATGAGGAACCTCCCAGGCTTTGAGATGCCCCCTTGCCCCCTTCTCATTTTCCTGCAGCTTCGACTCATCTGTGAGCTCACGAATCACCCAGCTGAGAATCAGGCTAAACTTTTAGGAGAACCCCCTTGCTCTAGGCTGGCTTTCCATATAGCCCCATTCCTAAGCATTAGCTTAGTTGGCTGGATGAGTAACATCCCAGGGTGTGTGTGTGTGTGTGTGATTTGAAATGTCCCAATAGTTCCCTGGTGAACCCCTTGCACCAACCCAGCTTCTCTGGAGCTCCTTACTCTTGTGGGAGATGAGGAACCTCTTAGCAGAGCTTCAAGCTTGGGATGGGCTTTTTGATAGCCCCCACACTCCCTGCTAGCTTCACTGAACCTGCTGCTTATCTGGGCAATAAAGGACCTCCCAGGGCTGGATTTGAAATGCCTTCTTATGTCCCTGTGGCTTGTTGCTTAGCTGGAAAGCTAAGAGCTCCCAGCAGAAAATCTGTCTCAGAATAGTCTTTCAGTTGTCCCTTGCTCCAGACTAGCTTTGCTGGAGCATACTGTCTTTCTGGGAGATGAATAACCTTCCAGCTGAGCATCGGGCTTCTGGGCAGCCCCCTTCCTCCCCACTAGCTTCCCTAGAGCTTGTAGCCCATTTAGATGAGGAGGGATCTCCTAGAAGAGCATCATGCTTGGTCCAGGCTTTTAGAAACACCTTGCTCTATGGTAGCTCCCCTAGAGCTTGTTGGTCATCTGGGAGTTGAAGAACCTCCCAACTGATCAGCAAGGCTGGGGTGGCTTTCTGGGAGCTCCCTGGCTTAGACTGGCAGCTAGCATGGAATAGGAAGAACCTCCATAGCTTGCAGCATATTTGGGAGTACCCCTCTCTGCCAGCTTTCTGGAGCTTGTAGTCAGGAGGCTACAGCCAACAATTAGGCTTTCAGGTTGCACCCCACCAGCTTCAAGGAGCCTGCTATCCACCTGGGCAGTGCAAGGCTTCCCAGTTGAATGTCAGCCTTGAGAGAAGCATTCAGGGTAACTCCTTGCTCCTCTCAAGCTTTCATGAAGCCTGGTGTTTAGTAACTGGAAACAGAGGTCCATCTAAGGTTGAACACCCTGAAAGGTGCACTTAGCAGGAAAGTACCAAGTTTCCCAGCTGAGCATCACTCTTTGGACAGACTGAGAGTGCTGGCACCTTTCTCAAGGCCCCACACATCTCTCAGCTGTGTGTGATGCTCGGGCAGGTTGTTATGCATCCCAGTCTCCCTGCCAGAAAAGTTACTCAGCTGGGAGGTGGCAGCAAACTAATCTTGTAGCGTCACCCGAGAGGCCTGCATTTCAGCACAAGACTCCTGAACACAAAGAGAGATGCTAAGCCTAATACCTAAGCCTATTACTAGCCAGTCATTTCCAAGAGAAAGGGTTTTAATCCCTTTTCTTCCAGCTGATCAATGTGTCTGTCTTCCCCGATATAGAAAGTATAAGGGGAAAAAAACCCCTTCTACTTACCAAACCAAAGGCTGCCGCTGAACGAAGAAACCTGGCCTTTGTCACGGACCCATGTCTGCCTCTGTTTGGGAGTCATCTCATAATGGGTGTTTGTTTTCAAAAACTCCATAAAAAAGAAATGCAATTTCACACCTTTAATGCTGGTGTGAAAACAAATATCATGGTTGACCGAGAGCTGGAGTTATAATTGGGAGCTGAAGGGCTATAATTGGGATCCAAAAGGGGTGACGTGAAACATTTGGCCAACTTCCCCTTTTTTCTGCTTGTTTTTTTGGGGACTTTTTCACATGTTTCTTTTTGAAGTCCAGAAATTCACTTATGAGGAAAACAAGACATGCCAGAGTTTGTTTGTATTAAACTGGCCACTTATTTGACTTCGTTAATTATTGATTCATATTGAAACCTGTTTACACACTGCAGTCCAAAGACACAGAAAGAGGTAGATAAAGCCGTTAAGCAGTCCAGAGTATAAAAACAAATATGAGCTGGCTTGAGAGTAGGGCTAGGCCTCATTCGCAAATGAGAATCCTCACCCTAAGGCATTGTAATGAATAATTCAGTGCCCCAAATGCTTTACAATTCTTATCTCTTACAGTCCTGTGGGGAAGTGGGGACAATTTGCCCATGGCATAGGGTTACCAACTCCAGGTTAGGAAATTCCTGGAGATTTGGGAGTGGCGCTTCGTGAGTAGGGTTGCCAAGTCCTACCTTCGTAATAGCGCGGGGGGGGGGTCCCGGACATCACTTGGAAGTGACGCAATTACGTCAGGCACATTGGGTTGGGGCCACAATCATTGGAGGGAAAACCATAGAGTTTTCCCTCAGATGATTGAGCATCCCCCGCAACGTGCCCGACGTGATTGTATCACCTCAGGGTGATGAGTTTATGCCGGGCTCGTCACATGCTTTGGGGGTGGGGTCCTCCCCGCCGGCCCGATCCCCGCCGGCGGGGAACGGACCTCTCAGGCGGGGGTTTCCCCGCCCCCTGGGGGGACTTGGCAACCCTATTGGTGAGGGAAGGGACCTCAGTTGGGGTATAATGCCATAGAGTCCACCCTCCAAAGTTGCCATTTTCTCCAGGGCAATTGATCTCAGTAGCCTGGGGATTGGTTGTAACTCTGGGAGATCTCTAAGCTCTACTGGGAGCCAGTTTGGTGTAGTGGTTAAGTGTGCGGACTCTAATCTGGGAGAACCGGGTTTGATTCCCCCCACTCCTCCACTTGCAGGGAAAGGAGTTTGTAAGCCACTCTGAGACTCCTTTGGGTAGTGAAGGGCGGGGTATAAATCCAATCTCTTATCTTCTTCTCTACCTGGAGGTTGAGAACCCTAAAGCAGCTTGAGCCACATTCTCATAGAACACTACTGTTGTCGGACAAACTGTGCCTCAGCCCTATTCTATTTTGATAGAGGGACAGCTTCTGTATAATCGTAGTGTTCCTTGGCCGAACCTGAGTGATGGTGAGGAAGAAGAGGAAGAAGAAGAGTTTGGATTTATACCCCGCCCTTCACTACCCAAAGGAGTCTCAGAGTGGCTTACAAACTCCTTTCCCTCCCCCTCCCCACATCCTGTGAGGTAGGTGGGGCTGAGAGAGCTCTGACAGAAACTGCTCTATTTCAAGGACAGCTCTTATCAGAGCTACGGCTTGCCCATGGTCATCCAGCCAGGTGCAAGTGGAGAAGTGGGGAATCAAACCCGGTTCTCCCAGATTAGAGTCCGCGCACTTAACCACTACACCAAACTGGCTCTACACCAAGCCATCTCAGCTGCCAGATTACGACTGGCTGCTTGGGGGGTGGGAGGAGCTGAGCTGGCACTGGAGGCATAACTCTTCCTGCCCAGGTATCATTGAGCCCTGATCTGGATAGCCAGGCTGGCCTGATCTTGTCAGATCTTGGAAGCTAAGCCAGGTTGGTCCTGACTCCTATTTGGATGGGAGACATCAAAGGGGTAGCAGGCTCATGATGCACACAGAGGTGGACAATGGCGAACCACCTCTAAATGTCTCTTGCCTTGAAAACCCTACAGGGCCACCATAAGTTAGCACACACACATACAGGCATCATTGAAATGAATGGAACCTACTGGACCAATGAACTACTTTCAGAGGGTAGCCATCAGTGTTCCCTCTAAGCTGGGTTTAGTGTGAGCTGGCTCACAGTGCTTTAGCTTCTGGCTCGCACATGTTTGTCTCCGCTCAGGAAGGAGGGCTCCAGAGCAAACTAATTTACGTGGTAGCCAAATCGCTCACTCACAACTTCAATGCCAGCAGCTCACAAAGTAGAGTTTTTGCTCACAAGACTCCATGGGTTAGAGGGAGCATTGGTAACCATGTTGGTCTAAATTGAAGTCCAGTAGCCTCTTAGAGGCTAACAAAATTTTGGGGGTTATGAGCTTTTGAGGGACACAACTCCCTTAGTCAGATACCAGTTAGTGAAGTCTGAGTTAGTGAATTGTGAATTGGTGCAGGACAGCAACTATTGTGCTTGGCACCCTCTTCTGTCACCTTGGGCCCTCTCTCCGTGGGAATGTCATGACTGGCTGCATGCAATCCCATTCCAGAGCCATGCAGTGAGAGCAATACTTCTTTGCAGGATCCTGGCCAAAGCACAGTGCAGCTGTAGGAGCTGAACCTGATTATCTCCTAGCCTACTTTAGAGGCTTAGGCTTGGGAAGGCTCCCTTGCTGTATCAACCTATCTCCTAGTTGCAAGCTTGTGTTTTAGTTCGGCACGCAAAGGCCCCAAGCCTTACTATCCAGGCTGGAGAGCATTACTCCAGAGGAGCTCTGACTGGGTCTGCCAAGGCAGTGGGTGTCACAATGAGGCTGGTGTTTTGTATCATGATGTGGGTAACGTGGTTGGCTCCATGATGTGGTAATTTATTATTGTTTCACAATGTTTTCACACACTATTGTTTCACACTAGAAGGTATCAGTTGAACAAAACCATCATGTGCTTCAATCCCAGTGTTACTTTTTAAAGAGTAGTGTAGATGCTATGTGGTTGTCTGGAGTGGTTTTAATTTTTTAGGTAGGAATGCAGCCTACTGAGGCCCTTGCTTCTCTTGATGGCTCCTCCTCTTTACTTTTCTCCAAGCAGCTGCAGGTTTTCAGGGTACCCGGCAGCTGCTCAGGAATTGAGCATCCATAGCTATCTCAGCCAGTTTTACTGGACAGAAGCTGAATTTGGATGTTTGGGAGGATAGTCCTCAAAAAAGAGGACACCTGATCACACTAGACGGTATAATCCCCTGGGAATCCTTCTATCCTTCCTTCTATCCAAATGTTATTGAAACAAAAGGGAACGGCTGGATTTTGCCTCATGTTACTTAGTAAGGACTGGAGGTCTATCCTTTCAGATGTCTGATTCTTGCATGGCTAGGGATGCCAACTCAGCCTTAGGCAATGCCTGGAAATTCACGGTCGATGCCTAGGGAGGGTGGCGCTTGGGGAGGGAGAGCAGCAGAGATGTTGCGATGCCAAAGAGCCCATCCTTCAAAACAGCTATTTTCTCAGAGGCAGTGAGTGGATACTTAGTGGCTTGAAAGCCACCTATGGCTCTTCGGAGGACCAGTTCCCAAGATGGCACCTGCTTCATATTTCAGGAAACTGGGCAAGGCCCTTGTCTGGTGGGGCTTGTGACTGACCGGTGATTCCCACCTTGAAACAGCTGCCCCCGGAGAAACAAGTAAACAGCAAGCTTCCCTGAGATGCTGACATCATGCCAGGGATGGAAGTAAATATCGCTTTTTCGGTTAACAGTATTTGCATGTCATGTTCTCCATAAGCCACCGAGTGAGTACTGCTGTTCCAGGGAACCTTATCACTCTAGTCTGGAGACCCCCCCCCTGTAATCCTGGGAGGATTCCAGGCCCTACTTGCAGGTTTCCCCTTCTTTTTGTTATCCAAACAGCTCTAGGACCTCACTGGGAGAACTGGATCCAGAGGTTGGAAATCTTGTTCCAAGGTATGGAAATAGAGTGATACCGGGGGGTGGGGAAGGGCTTTCCTTCTGCACTGTACTGAAGAGTAAGTGTATGACATTTTCCTCACCCTCCCAGACACTGGTGGGGATAATAACTGTGTGTATGCATGAGCTCTACTGGTAGCAGGAGCTCCTTTGCATATTAGGCCACACACCCCTAGTGTAGCCAGTCCTCCAAGAGCTTACAGTAGCCCCAGTAAGAAGAGCTCTGTAAGCTCTTGGAGGATTGGCTACACCAGGGGTGTGTGGCCTAATATGCAAAGGAGCTCCTGCTACAAAAAGAGCCCTAAAAGAGTCTTCCAAGGCAAGTGAGAAGCAGAGGTGATTTGTCAGTGCCTTCCTCTGCAGGGTCTTTGTTGGTGGTCCCCCTTCCAAGTACCGACCCTGTTTAACTCCTGAGTTCTGACTGGATTGGGCTATCCCATGCTGCCTCCCCCCCTCTCATTTCCACATTGTCATTTTTGTCATTCATTTGTCCCTATTGCTTGGGGTCCCAACCAATGTTCCCTCTAAGCTGTTGGGGTCTTGTGAGCAAAAATTCTGCTTTGTGAGCTACCGGCATTAAAGTTGTGAGCCAGCGATTTGGCTGCTGCATAAATTAGTTTGCTCTGGTGCCATCCTTCCTGAGCTAAGACAAAAACGTGTGAGCTGAAGGCTAAACAACTGTGAGCTAGCTCACACTAACTCAGCTTAGAGAGATCACTGGTCCCTCCCCCCTTTTCCACATGTGGTTTGCTCCCTTTGGGACTACTAGAGAGAGCAAAACATACTGGGGGGGGGAAATCCCTGAAGTAATAGGGAGAAACGAGTGACCAAAATGACAATCTATTTCGGCCCAAAGGAAAACATCAGTTGTGGGGTAAGGTATATAATTTTCACCAAGTCAACCCAAAGTAGATCGAATGTGTGGGAAGAACTTCACCTTCTAAATATCTGTATCTTAAGCTTCTGTTAAAGCACAGGAAAAAGCTAGTGAACATCTGTGAGTCTTCTGCCTAGAGATGGCACTTGAAAAACTTGGATATTTTGCCAACCCTTCCCTTTTCTGGATAGTAGTTAATAAAAACACCCCAGCTGTCTAGAGAAATTTTGC